GCTCTTGAGTGAGATGGGCAGTGACTAAGTTTGAACTGTGAGTGAGTGAGTGAGTGAGTGAGTGAAAGAATGAATGAATGAATGAATGAATGAATGAACGAATGAATGAATGAACGAACAAATTATAGCTTTGCTATAATAGAAGAACTATATGTTTTGCAGGATAACGGTAAATGGATTAATGGGATGGATGAGCAGATCATGTCCTGGGCTACATCACGACCTGAGGTCAGTACCAGGGATGATGGATTTGAAAGAGCCAGACAAGGGGATCCTGTTCTAAAAACCTCTGTTGTGCTGTCCCTTAGGATTGGCACCTTGGGGGGAAATGCGACGTGTGCCTTTGGGGAGCTGGAAGGCACGGGCAGCTTGCAGAGGCTGGAAGGAATGTCCTGGTGCCCGTCTCGGCCCCCTCCTTCTCACAAGCGCAACAGGTAACCGCCAGGAGCTCTTCGAACATTTCTATCCCCTGCTAGTCTCACCTTCTATAACTGAGGCACCGGCAGGAAAGTTCTGCAAAGCAGAACAGTATCAAAATAGACGGGTCACATTTCCATGAATCTGATGCTCCTAAGAGGAGACTGTAGAGATGTCCCAGTTCTTCAGAAGGAGCTGGGCCTTGGACACAGAATTCAACCCTGTGGTGGCACCTGAAGATGATAAAGGGAGTAAATGTAAGAGAAAGTCTGGCATGGTTGCAAAGCCCAACTTCCTTTATCCAAACCAACAGTTATTAAAGTGAAGAATGCGCACGCCCCTGTCTTCCAAATCCTGCTTCCCATTTGTTGAAGACGCAGGAATGTCCTGTTTCGTTTCCAGATGAAATTCTGAGCCACCAGGAGGCCATCCAGCCCTGGGCTGATCCTCTTCCCCTCCCTTCTGCTGCCAAGATTCTGGCTTTACTTTCCACGGAAACGTTATTCCCTGTCTTTGCAAAGCATGGTTTTCATGGGCCTTCTTTCATGTCAGGGTACAGGTTAGAAACAGAAGGTTTTGCTTTTGCATCTGTTCAGCTGTAGGTTTTTGTTACCTTAAGCAATGACTTCTTTTCTTTTAATTACATTAGGTCATTTGTGGCCAAAACTGTACATTTGTGATTCAAGCAAATGGAACAGTTTTGGCATGTGGCGAAGGGAGCTACGGTCGACTGGGACAGGGAAATTCTGATGACCTTCATGTGCTTACCGTGATTTCAGCTCTGCAAGGTAAGTTGTGTATTTCAACACTGAAGATCTGGTCAGTCTCATATTTGACCAACCGATTTTGTTGAGTTATGCGTCTCACGATTAGCTCCATTCCCAAAACCTTCTGCATGAGCAGATAGGACAAAATCAGGGCCACCAGTAAGCAGGGCCCTCAGTTCCAGCAGCAGCCTGGTAGTCCCAGGATTTTGGATTATTTCCAGAGCCCGGAGAGGGGCGGCCCCAAGATAGGCTCTAGCATGCCACAATCAGGCACAGATGGGAACTGTGTTCCCTGAGTCCCACCAGGCTCATCAGAAGAGCCTGTTACCGGCCATCTCCTCAAGAACAGGCCTTACCAAGGTTTGTACTGTCCACGACCCACGTGCCAGAGGGATGCATGATGGCCTAGTCCCGGCTGGTGAGTTTGGAGAGGAACCCCAAAGGTGCCCCCAGACAGCCTCAGGATTGTGCCCCAAAGAAGGATCCTCCCGAAGGGGAAGAATCAGGGAGTGAGTTGTGGCTTTTTTTTTTTTTGGGACATTGGATGGAAGGAAATGTTTATGTTTGTCTTTGTGCTTCCGCTTGTGGTGAAGGTTTTGTTGTAACCCAGCTGGTGACATCTTGTGGTTCTGATGGACATTCAATGGCTTTGACGGAGAGCGGGGAAGTTTTCAGCTGGGGAGACGGAGATTATGGCAAACTGGGCCACGGAAACAGTGACCGGCAGCGCCGCCCAAGGCAGATAGAAGCTTTGCAAGGAGAAGAAGTGGTGCAGGTAGGGCAGAGGGCCGAAGGTTGGATCCTTCATCAGCTCGATGGCTTTTGCAGGAATTGGGGAATCTTGTCTCTGAATTCAGGCCAGGTGGTTAAACGTCCAGAGCTGTAGCTGGTTTGAAACAGCTCTGCAAATCTTCATCAGCCCCACCTGATCAGAGTTCATGCTGTTTTTTCTACCAGATGTCCTGTGGCTTTAAGCATTCGGCCGTGGTGACCGCAGATGGCAAGCTGTTTACGTTTGGGAACGGCGACTACGGACGGCTGGGATTAGGAAACACGTCCAACAAGAAGCTTCCGGAGAGGGTGACGGCGCTGGAGGGCTACCAGATTGGAGAGGTTTGACTTGCAGAGTAAAATTGTTTCTCTCTCTTTTTTCTGAAAATGTTCTTTTTTCTTCAGAAACATAATTGGAAAAGCTGGAACTGCCTTCCGTTCTTGTCTATCTCCTCTTTGTTCCAGCAGGATCCTAGAGCAGAGATTCCAGCCAAGCTATATTTAGGATTTTTCCCCCCTATGTGGGTTCCTGGTGTAGTGTTTTTGCCCCAGTCTTCCCCCTCCCCGAAGTCCACAGGAGCAGAGGATTCGCTGTAGCGAAGTAAACGCAAAACAGATGTTCATGTGAAAGTTGCCTGAGATTTGTGAATGTTTGCCATTGTTTGGGGCAGAGGGCCCTCAAACTCACTGCCCTCCAAGTCTCGAGGGCTCGTTCATTAGCCTGCCACAGGAAGCCTTTCTGTGCCTTGGTCTGAAAGTCTCTGATCATCAGGGACAGCTGTCCTGCTAGCCAAGAGGAGCTTCAAGGGTGGCAGGGGAAGCAGGCAGGGGAAGATGAGCCTGGCTGGGGGGCCTGGAATACAGCTGCCTCCCAGCCTGCTGTTCCCAGGTGTGGAACAGCGCTGTCTTCTCAGCCTGGCCATTGGTCTTTGTGCCTGCGAGGAACCCGCTCAATGGCCCAGTTCTTCTTCCTTGGCTGCCTGCTCCCCCAGTGCAGCGGTCAGCAGCTGTCCAGAACTAGGAGTGTTCATATCAACGTACGAGAAGGCTTCAGAGTTTTAGCCCTCCAGCTGGTGAAGGAGTCCTCCTGCAGACTCGTGGCCCTGGAGCCTGAGACTCCTAAATGGAAATGTTAACTGTATTTTAACATTAGGTGGCCTGTGGATTAAACCACACAATAGTTGTGTCTACCGATGGTTCCATGGTTTGGGCATTTGGTGACGGAGACTACGGAAAGCTGGGCCTGGGAAATTCAACTGCGAAATCCTCACCGCAGGTGAGTCCCTGCAGCATCGTCCCGCCCCTCCTGTCACATCCTTATGCGCATCTCCTGTTGTTTGTGATCTGCTGCTTGTGGTGTGTTCTCTTGAATGTTGTTTCGGTAATAGAATATTGATCTTATTGATTTGTCTACTCCCTCAGTCCTAGCGGACTCCTCTCGGCACTGCAGTAAATGAAAACGCAGGCTGTGAAAACGAATGCTGGGGCTAGACACTGTTGGCCTTGGGCCTGGAAGGAAGACGGCCACACAAATGAGACTGCACTAACCTCTCAGTCGTTTTGCAGGTTCACTCAGAAATAGATTGCACTGCCCTGAGCAAGGCCGTTTCCAGGATAAAATATTGGCATGGGGTTCATAAATCTAATCAGTCAGCCTAGACTTACTCCCAAATAATGGGGGCTTTATTTTCTTCATTTATTCTGAAGAAAATAAGCCCCTTAAACGCTAGCTGAAAGGTTGCGTTAGTTAAAGGGGGGTTATATTGCAACATCCTTGAACTGTTCATCATGGAATTAAAAGTGGAGTCCCTGAGAATGTTTGCCATTGTCCATTTGGGCATCCTAGATAGATGGGCACCAGTGTACTGTTCTCAGGGTGACACAACTTCTGAGGCAAGAATTGTGCCAATCACTCTGCATCCCAAGCACAGTGTTACCTCCTGAATAGAAATGAAAATTAAAAACAAATTAATGCGAATTTAATGGCTTTGAATGTGATATCTCTGCCTGTTCTTGTTTTGTCTTTTTTTTTTTAATGAGGTTGCCATTAAAATATAAAAATGGTTCCTTTTTTCTGTTTCTTTCACAGAAAGTAGATATTCTTTGTGGAATAGGAATCAAAAAAGTTGCCTGTGGAACTCAGTTTTCAGTTGCATTGACAAAAGATGGACACGTATACACCTTTGGGCAAGGTGAGTTTGGCTGAACCGGTCTCAGTCCTCAAACCTGGGTGCTGGAGGACGTCTTTTGAGAGACACGCCAGAGCCAGCTCCCAGCCCCGCCAGAGCTGCCTGTGGCAAGCATAGCCAGGGGTGTCCTTTCTTCCAGACCGGCTGATTGGCCTGCCAGAAGGACGAGCCCGGAACCACAATCGCCCCCAGCAAGTTCCAGCCCTGTCAGGGATCTTCATCGAAGACGTCGCCGTAGGAGCAGAGCACACCCTCGCTCTGTCCTCAGCTGGAGATGTCTACGCCTGGGGGAGCAATTCAGAGGGCCAGGTATGTACAGGATACGTCTGAATTTGGTCAATAAGAATGTGAAGAGGGAGACAGAAATGTATTGTGTCCTTTAAGCATGTGGTTAGCTTAGTTGGGTCATTTCTCAGTTGTACGGCAAAGCCCTCGCTCGCTCTTGATAGGCGTCCTGGGAAGGTCTGTAATGTGATGGCTTCCAGCCATCCTCTCTGTAAAGCCTAGTCAGCTTTATTACTTTTGGTCCCATTTTATTCCCCAATTTTGGGTGGAATAAGTGGACGTCTTGGATGTGCGAGCTGCCGTCGTCACCAATGTCTGACCCAAAATCACCTTGGAATAAGGGCCGAATTACCACAGCCCAGACAGAGTCCTCCGCTGGGGCTGTTCTGTGTCCGAGTGTTGTGTTTTCTGAATCTAGCTCGGATTGGGCCACACCAACCATGTCCGGGAGCCCACCCTGATTACCTTTCTGCAAGGGAAGAATATCCGACAGATCTCGGCAGGACGATGTCACAGTGCTGCATGGACTGCCCCGCCCGTTCCCCCACGAGCACCAGGTAAAAAGGCCTGGGGTGCTTTACTCGCTCTCCGCAAATCTCTGTTAGGCCACCCCTCTCTCTGCTGAGGCGCCCTTCGCGTGAGCTTCACATCTTTTGCCCCCTGAGACTCGACAGGAGAGATGCCGCGACTCTCTCGTGGCCAGACGGTCCATAGCAGCAACAGTCTCCATAGTGAATCATATATAAGTTCACAGCAATTCATTTGATTTTCAGCAGCTTTCTCCCCCCCAACATGGACACACTCCCCTCCCCCAAGACAAGACTTCTGGTGGGAGATTGGCTTTGGCCAACTGATTGGCAATCAACCATCTGGCCGACTCTCTGAAGCCGGAGGATCTTGCCCTGCTGCTTCTCCGATGAACCTCACAATGGCCGTTTCGAGAGGACCGGAGCAGAGGCTGCCCGCGGGTGGGGCTGGGGGCTGACCGCCTCTTTGTCTCGGCAGGGGTGTCGGTGCCATTACAGCTGGGCTTGCCGGATGCCATTCCGCCTCAGTATGGGGCCCTGAAGGAAGTGAGCATTCACACCGTCCGAGCCAGGCTTCGGCTGCTCTACCACTTCTCTGACCTCATGTATTCCTCGTGGAGGTTGCTGAACCTCAGTCCCAACAACCAGGTGAAGCCCCTGTCTGTGCCAGGAGAATTCTGGTGCTTTCGAATCCCTGCCTTTCTCCCCCACCCCCCTCCAGGGAAGACTTTGGACAATCTCATGGATGTAGCTGGCCTCTCCGCAAGGCAAGGTGGCGGAACCAGCACCAGGTTTTAGTCTTGGGAGCGCTCATGTACGGACAAAGCCCGTGCAAGGGGTTGGACTCTGAGTGTGGCTGCCAGTTTCTCAAGCGCCAGAAAGCCCAAGGGAGACGTTTGGAGCATCTGCATGTGCCCGAGGGGGTGAACCCTGGGCCTTCCAGATGTGCAGCCAGTGTGGCCTGAGATAGGGAGGGTGGCATTGTACCTCAGCAATCTGGAAGGCCCAGTGACAGCCCCAGGATCGGGAAAGCTGGGGCATTGTGAGGAAAGTCAGCCTGCCCAGTTTGCTCTGCTGTGGAAGAAAATGGCTGCTTCCCTTTGTGGCAAGGCAAGGAAGTGGCAGCTTTGGAAAGGGAGAACGCCCTATTCCTTCTCCACCCCAAGGTGAGGAGGGGAGAATGCCCCTGCAGCACCAGCCTTGTGGTGTGGCAATTTCCAGCGCACCTCTTTCGCCATCGGAGGGAGCACATCTTGGCGTAAAGCTTTCGGTCACCCTTCTGTTACAGAACAGCACATCCCATTACAATGCTGGGACGTGGGGGATCGTCCAAGGGCAGCTGAGGCCATTGCTGGCGCCCCGAGTCTACACCCTCCCCATGGTTCGGTCCATTGGAAAAACGATGGTTCAGGGGAAGAACTACGGCCCACAGATCACGGTCAAAAGAATATCCACCAGGTCAGCATTTTGAGCCTATGAAAGGAAACGCACGCACGACTGCCGAAAGCATGACAACGCCTACCTGCTCTGTGGGTGGTTGACATTTTCTTTGTCTCTTCCCAAAGAGGCCGGAAGTGCAAGCCCATTCTCGTTCAGATCGCAAGGCAAGTTGTGAAACTGAACGCTTCCGATCTTCGCCTGCCCTCTCGGGCCTGGAAGGTGAAGCTCGTCGGGGAAGGTGCTGATGACGCTGGGGGCGTCTTTGACGACACCATCACGGAAATGTGCCAGGTACAGGATTTCAGGATGCTGAGTTATGTTGCCTCCAATTCAGCCAGCGCTTCCGATTGTTTGTGCACACGTGGCCCATGAAAAGTTCTGCCTGGTCTGTCAGCTGAAAGGGAATGAGAACAAGGATATGTATCATCCTTGTGCTCCGTCTCCTCCTCCTGGGGGGCCAGAATAGGGGCGGTAGGCCACATCTTTGTTCTCTCTTATTAGGATTCTGGAGGGGGTGCAAAGCGTAGCCAGTAAGTAAATCCATCCTGGGACTGGAAATTGCTGAACTAAGAACGCTGGCTCTGGGAGAGGAGAAGAAGCAACCGTCCTCTTGTTCTTTATGGACTTGCTTTACTGAGCAATTTAATAATTCTTAAAACCTTTTTTTCCCCTTAATTCACAAGGAACTTGAAACTGGAATCGTAGACCTGCTGATTCCTTCCCCAAACGCAACAGCTGAAGTTGGCTACAACAGGGATCGGTAAGTTAGACGGTTCCTTTTGAAAAGGCCATTAAGGGCCTCTGAATATAAATTCAGAGAAGAGGAAGATTTAGTGAACCTGGTTTGGAGTTCGTGTTTTCTTTGGAAGGTGGGCCATGACTGGACAAAACTCAGTGGTTTGCCACAAACAACAAGCCCCTGGTGATTTCCAACCACTCACTTGCCCTGAGCCTTTCTTCACCTTTCTGTTTGACCGCTGGTTTCACAGGGGCAGAGGGGCACAGCCATCTGGACCAGGACTCAGGCACCCAACCTGTTTTCTCGCCCTCCTTTGTGGGATTTGTATTTCTCTGTCTCACTTGAAGTTTTTGCCTCGCCGTATAAGGATTCTTCCCAAAGGTGGCTTTGCAACACCCGCTGGGGCATAACTTGGGTAGTCAGTGATCCTTCATGCTGTCTCTTGGGCAGGGTGAGCCACCTGAGTCCCTGTCTCCTGGTGGTGATTCAGGGGTGCTTGTGGGTCAGTCCCAGTCTTGTGTCTTACATCTTCCCCAGGCTTCTCTTGAACCCTTCAGCCTACCTGGATGAACATCTGATGCAGTTTAAATTTCTGGGCATTCTGATGGGCGTTGCCATTCGTACCAAGAAACCGTTAGACCTCCACTTGGCCCCCATGGTCTGGAAGCAGCTCTGCTGTATCCCGCTCACTCTGGAAGACCTGGAGGAGGTGGACCTCCTCTACGTGCAAACCCTGAATAGCATTCTTCACATTGAAGACAGCGGGATCACTGAGGAGAACTTCCACGAGGTGAGCTGAGCTGCCGGGGTTCCCAGCGGTCCCGCAGAAGTCCCCACATTTTTTTCCGATGCCACCGCCTGGAGGAGCGGCTACTGAGCTGGACGGCCCTGATTTTGTAACAAAATAAAAATGGTCTTGAACGCCTGCCAATTTGGCTCACATACATGAAATCATTGGAGGAATGTGAGCGTGTGGGTCGCCGGAAGGGGCTTTTCATAAGAGCCAGAACTGGGAGGTTGAAGGGACACGATAATGTGAAAATCAACACCAAGTAGCGAAATGGCAAAAAAGTTGAACGACTGCTTTGCAAAGTGCAACACAAATAAAAACGTTTGATTTCTTTCCTGTTAGATGATTCCTCTAGATTCTTTTATTGGCCAGAGTGCTGATGGGAAAATGGTCCCCATCATCCCCGGCGGGAACAGCATCCCCCTCACGTTCTCAAACCGAAAGGAATACGTGGAAAGAGCCATCGAATATAGGCTTCACGAAATGGATCGTCAGGTAACAGTCCAGGGCGGAGACTCTTGACGTTCCACAGCCGAATCGGTTAATTTTGAGAGACTGTTTATTTTTTAGAATTTCTTCCCACGCGTGCCCGAAGGCTGAGCCACCGCTGAAATGCCGCTTGTCTTGCAGGTGGCTGCCGTGCGGGAAGGAATGTCCTGGATCATCCCGGTCCCCTTGCTGTCTCTTCTGACTGCCAAGCAGTTGGAGCAGATGGTCTGCGGCATGCCAGAGATCTCCGTGGACGTCCTGAAGAAGGTGGTGCGGTACCGAGAGGTCGACGAGCAGCACCAGCTCGTTCAGTGGTTCTGGCACACCCTGGAAGAGTTTTCCAACGAGGAGCGAGTCCTTTTCATGAGGTTTGTGTCCGGAAGATCTCGCCTGCCAGCGAACACAGCGGATATTTCTCAGCGGTTCCAAATCATGAAGGTCGATAGGGTAAGGTGCCACTTCTCCTCTTCCCGATCGCTTTCCAGTCTGATCAGCCTGCCGAGAGAGGCCAGGAGTCCAGAGAGCCCATCTCCCTGGCCGCTGCAGTGAAGGTGGCCGTGGGGGCAGCTCTGGCTTCAGTCCTCCTGCCTGGCTTCCTAAGCGCCGGCCCCGAAGGGACGGTTCCTGGGCAGCCAAGCAGACGGCGAGCCCTCTTTTGCCCACGGGGGCCAGGCTCGGCCGTTTAGGCCGCCCCGGCGAGGGGCGGGAGGCGTTGCAGAGCGCGGCAGGCTGGGCGGGAGAGGCGAGGGTCTTCGTGGCTGCGAGCCCTGCCCAGGGAGGAGGCAGGTCCCCAAGCAACGAGAGACGTTGAGCCACGGAAAGGCTTTGTGAATCCCTCCACCCTGAAGGGTGAAGCTCAGCCACGGGGTTTCAGCTTGAGTCGCAATGGCGTGGCAACAAATGCTCCTCCCAAAACGGGGTGGGACCCTTGAAGAGAAGAGCTGCCTCTGAGCTGCGGAGAGACGCGCTGGGAAATCCGTTTTGGTTCCGGGTTCATTTAGCCGGAGGAATTTAAAACTCCATCGGGCACGTCGGAACTGAAAGGCGTCCCTGGGCTAGCTTGTTAAACTGGGAACCCTGAGTTTGGCAAAAGCCCCCTGCCGCCCCCTTCCCAAGGTCTGGGAGGCCTGGGGCAGGCAGAGGCCCCCGGCCCCTTCCGCTCGACGACGAGCCCGGCCTAACCCCGCGGCCTCTCTCTCCCCGCCAGCCTTACGACAGCCTGCCTACCTCACAGACTTGCTTCTTTCAACTGCGTCTCCCACCCTACTCCAGTCAGCTCGTCATGGCGGAGCGTCTGCGCTATGCAATCAACAATTGCAGGTCTATCGATATGGACAATTATATGCTGTCCCGAAACGTGGACAACGCCGAGGGCTCGGACACAGACTATTAACTGTGGACAAAACTCCTCTCTCTCTCTCTCTCTCCCTCTCTCTCTCTCGCGCGCGCAAAGAACGCCCACGCCGGATTTCAGTGCTGACATGGTTTTACAGTAAAGGTAGATGTTTTAGGAACATAAACAGTGGCCACCCTTTTAGTTACTCTAAATGTAACAAAATTTAGATGTGTTTATTTTTTGTGACTGTAAGCAAAAAATGCAAAAAAGTGAGATCGGTAAAGTTTTCCCCCCTCCCCTTATTTTTGTTCACTTTTGATAAGTTTGCATGGAGCCTTTCTGGTGCACTTTTTACTTTGTTGGGAATGGTACCTTTCCCTTTCCCAGTGACTCTGAAGAGCTGTACATTGTGTATAATTGTTCATTAGAAAGGACAGTTTTACATGAATATTCATATATTTATTTTTGTTTTAATTTGAAATGCCTGTGCAGGGTTCCTTATGCAAAGAAAATAAAGCAGATTCAAGAACTGAAGAGTAGTTCTCTTCTTTAACGTTGTCTAATGATTAATTCAGTCTTTTTTTTATTTGTCTTGTTTTTAATTTCTACAACGTTCCTGACTTTTGTTGTTGTTGTTGTTTTTGCTCACAATTGCCAAGATGAAACTGACATTTATGTGTTTTATGTGTTCTATGGTTTTTATATTTTTAAAGCTGCACTGGGGTGGCATTTAATTTCGTTGTACGAGAAGTACAATGACAATAAAGATTACTTTGACTTGAGACACTGAAGGCAATCAAATCTCATAAGTAGGTAGAAGGGGAACGGAGGGAAGGGAAGGAAAAAAGAAAGAAGGAAGGAAGGAAGGAAGGAAGGAAGG